TACAAAACCGAAAACAGAATATAGTCTTATGACGTAATTACCGAATTAATGAAAAAGATTAATGAAATAAGAGTTCTGGCGGAAGAGATGAATTAGAAGTGAATGATGTTAATGAGAAATTAGCCGAAAAAGCAAACAAAAATGAGCTTTTAGCTCTGAGTGATAAAGTCAAGAACCACGTTCATTATATAACTTCAGACGAACAGATTATAACGAACTACCATGGATATTTAACACGAAGTGATGAAGCGAAGAAAAATGTTAATGAAAGAAGATATAAATACATTCGTGCTAAAGGTTATGACATAAGCTGTACTGTACAGTATATGTAGCTAAAGCACCAGAAGCATTTGGTTATACCGGTGAAATTTATGCCTCTACTTTCAATGTTAACGGTGTATTAGTTGAACCAAGATTTACTTTGAGAGTTAAGTCAAAAATAACGTTTGAAGATGCTATTAAAAGTAAAGCTGACAAAGTTGAACTTGAAGCAACGAACAAAGTTTTGAAATCTCATAAACACAACATCTCCGATATAAATGAACTTCAGGCTACATTAGACAGTAAAGCCGACAAGAACCATACACATAAATCCTTCACTACTGTTAGAGCAGACGACATAATATTGAACTATACCCTTGGTTCAAGTGCACCTTTAGAGAATCCAAGTACAAGCGTAAAAGATACACTAAACAATTTAGATAACAGTTGCAGGAATATTGAAGGTCATGCCAGAAACTTTGAAGAACAATGAACTACCAGCAATGTTAGATAAGAAAGCCGACAAAACTTATGTAGATGAAAATTATGCAAAGAAGTCGGAAGTAAATGCTGCGCTTAATGGAAAAGCCGATAAAGAGCACGTGCATGAAGAATTTCAAACAATCAAGATTAAAGAAATTAAGGCATGCATCGAAATAGTAACAAAAACAGGAAGAGACGGTGCAACTGTACAAGAACAAAGAATTTATCCTCCTACTTTTCCTAATGGTTTAATAACAAACAATATAAATATTGTAGAAGGCAATAAAACTATAAACGTTAAACATGAACTTCTAACAATGAAGGCCCAGATTCTTGAAACCATATATCCTATAGGCTCTATTTATACGTCAATGAACTCAACAAATCCGGCAAGTGTTTTAGGTTTTGGTACGTGGGAACAGATTGTAGATAAATTCCTCTATTGTGCGAACTCTTCAAAGCAAACAGGTGGTTCGAAGAAAATTAAAGAAGCAAACCTTCCACCGCACACTCATACAGGAACTACAAACACAACAGGTAGTCATTCACATTCAATAACAAAAAGAGGTTATACAAATCTTGCAGCAGGTTCGGATAGACAGGGAATGCATAGATATGATATTTCAAGTGACCCAGTAGATTCAAGCGCAGGTATTTTCTGTGGAACCGCAGGAAATCATTCACACACTTTCACAACAAATCCAACAGGCTCGGGTAAGGATTACATGCCACCATTTGTGACTATATTCGCATGGTACCGCGTTCAATGAACGCGCTTGAGCCTAGAATAAAATCTTTATTTTTACATAAATGAGCTTGAAAGAAGTATTCGAACAACATCCATGGAGGTCATTTAAGAAGTTCAATGAAGCTGCAAAGAGTTGGGGATTTACTAACAGAGCTGAAGTGAAAAAGTTCTTTGACAAAAATGTTGTACATCAAACAAAAATAAACCCTTACGACTACTTTTTACCAATTTACTCCAACACTCCGACGCATACCAATTTGACACTCTCATTCAAAGCAGAAAAGGAGGACATAAACCATTCCTCATCTTCATAAATGTTAACACTCGCAAAGCTTTTGCGTATATAATGAGAAATAAAGGAACTCGTGAAGTGTTAAGAGTTTTACAAAAGTTTGTAGCAGAACATAACCCAAGTACTTTAACATCAGACCAAGACAGTGCATACCTCAGCAACGAAATCACAGAATTTCTCATTAAGCATAACATAACTCACTACACTACTGAAGACCATAACCATAATATTTTAGGTATCATTAATCGCTTCATAAGAACGCTCAGAGATTTAAATCAAGAGCGAGACTTTACCGAAGAAACAATGAAACATTTTCTCGAAGTATATAATTCCTCAACAAATTCTACAACAGGACATACACCAAATTCAATGACACAACAACAAGAAGAAAAGTATATACAAAAGAAACGAAGCCAAACACAAAATATCAGAAATTCAACACAATTTACCCTCATTCCTGGTACAAAAGTTCGTGTAGTTCTTGACGACAAACCGTTGACAAAGAAACGTTTAAGGTTAAGTCGAAATTATTATATCGTAGACTCTACGCAAGGTAATGGATATCTTATAAAAGCTGCTGACGACTCTATTGCGTTTTATCCTCGTCATAAATTAGTCGAAAGTAGTAATGGCAAACTTGCTGAAACCATTGACGAAGCAAAGCGAGGAGTGGTTATTGAAATACTTAACTATAACATAAACGATGACACTTATAAAGTAAGATATGAAGGAGGCGTTGAAGATGTTATACCATCTAAGAACTTGAGAGAGTCAAAGCCAACACATCTGGGACCATTAGAGCGGGAGTACTGGAAAGACAAAAATAAGCCAGAAAGAATAAGAAAATTCTTCTAAACTTTTTCATTAGATGTAAATCAGACATGAACGAGAACAGTCATGATATCATTAATGGTACCATTTATTTTAACATAAACTTTATTTATGTTAGAATGTTAGATCTAACACGTTTTCTAACCACTTTTCTAACATGGTCTAAAACTCTCGAAAATCATGAATTTTTGACATTTCCTTATGAAAGAAAAATAACGCTAATTTTTTTCTAAGAAAAATTTTTATCTTGTATGTAAAGATATGATTTCAACAATAGGTTCTACAACACTTCAAACAACAACTTCACCAAACTCTTTAGTTATGAATCCAACATCTATGTTAGTAGAGATGAAAAGCTTCATTCATTCTTCATATACTTTTGAGACAGAAATACAAAGAATTAAGCAAGAACTTTTAACAAGTAATTTAGACTGTAGTGCGAAAGATGAAACAAATGAACAGTATCTTTATGACATGCAGGATATTATTGACCATTTACCCAAATTGCCTGAAATCCAACAACAAAAGCTCACTATTCATGAATTCGATGAAATAGAAGTGAAACCAACTGACTCAGTAGAAATAAAGAAGTTCATACGTAAAGTAAACTATGAGTTTCTAGGATATCATTGCAACCATAAAGTTATGGACAAAGATTGCGACATGGTATATAAGAACATCTCTGACATATATAAATCTGGGGAGTTTAAGACATACGACAACTTTGTTTCATTAGTTGCTGAATGTGTATGGCAGATAAGAGATAAAGATAAAAGATGTAAAATATGGAATGGACAAATAAAACCAACAACTTTTGAGTTAAAGAAAACCATTGACGCCTTAGTTGTTCTAGCAGGTCAAATTTCAATGTATAACGCAAAAATGAATCCGCAATGTTCAAAATGTAAAGCAGCAATGAGGAAATATAACTACTCCGTCAAAGAGATAGAACGTATGAGAAACGACTATGCTGACTTAAAGAAAGAAGTAGAGAAACCAGCAGAAGATAAAATGGACATGTTAGCATTTCTGAACAAAAACTATCCAACTGCTGACGATTTCCTATTATCTGATGTCAAGAAGAAATATAAAGAAACCTTCGGCATAGTTAAAATTTTTGATATCCTTCGTGAAGAAATAGAAGCTACAAAACTGTTTAAAGTCATGAACCATCGCAACATATACCATGTAAAACGCTTGTAAATAGTTTTCTTCGATGTTAGAAAAGTGGTTAGAAAACGTGTTAGATCTAACATGCTAACATAAACATTATTTTTTCTAAGAAAAATTTTTATTTGTATGTAAAGACAGTAATGTCAAACATTGAGTTTGAAACAGTTAGAAAGATAGACAATGACACCAAAGTGGTTAGAATAGGTGATTTAAACGTAAGATACTCAAAGAAATACAACAAATATTCTTTGTCAGACATTATAACACCATCTGGAAAGAAAACAAACGACTGGGTTAGAAATGCTTCAACTCAGAAAATTTTGACAAGAAATCCTGAGCTTATGATATCAGTAGCATTTCATGGAACAAGAGCATATCTTATAGACAAAAGTCTTATACCAATAGTTTTGTTATGGTTAGACCCAGTTGTTGGATATAACTTCATAACTTATGGTTCATTCGATACGGAACGTTGCAGTGAAGGCTTACTTTACATCGTTCAGAAACCGAAGGACTTCAATACAAAGAGATATAAGATAGGAAGAACATATAATATAACTCAAAGATATGACAGTACAGTCAATAGAGTCAAGGTTGTGTTCGTTAATGATATGAGAGCTGCAGAAACAGAACTACTTGAAAAGTTTGAGAAAATGTATGGTGCTCCCATGAAAGGTAAAGAAACGTTTGAAGTAGATGAGATAGATAAAGCTATAAAATTATTTGACGAAGTTGCTGAAAAATACATGTAAAGCGTTTATTTTTGGTCTTTTGTGAAAGTCAGAAAATAACGCTAATTTTATTTTTATTTATTTTTTTATTTTGTATGTAAAGACAGTAATGACAACATCAGAGAACACAACAACAGTTATAGTCCATGAAGCTATAAATGAAGAATACGAATACATACAGTATAACAAACAGTTACGTCTCATTCGTTCAGTCAAAGATGACATGTACCAAATGCAAAGTATAATGAATGCTCTTCGTTCTACAAAGCAAGCATATCATTGGTTTGAAAACCAACAGACAAAAGAACTTTTAGAAGAATTTCCTCATATGATTGCTTCCCTCGGAAAACCGAGAGAAGAGATTCCGTACGAAAATCGCAAGAATTTGGCACCTGGTTTGAAAGGTTATTATGTTCATAGACTTTTAGTAAACGCTGTAGCAATGTGGGCTTCACCTCGTTATGCTTGTTATATTTTCATGATGTTAGATGAACTATATAAAGCAGAACGTGGAGAGATGGAAAAGAAACTTCAAGCAAAAGATGAAGTCATTGAATCCAAAGACAAAAGCATACAGAAAAGAATACCACGTTCAGTACCAAAAGGAAAGGAAAAAAGCTATAAGTATATGATTTACGCTGAAGAGATGGAGAAAGAAGAAGATAGAGATATGGTTATGTTGCATTTAGTGAGAAGAAACAACAAGAGCTTTTATGACCTCGCTAAAATATATAAATCTGACAGAAACTGGTTCTATCGTGAAAACTTACCGATTTCAATGACACCGAATGAGCAAATAAAGGAAATTGTCAAAAGTACTCTTCCTCAAACACACTATGATATTAAAGGTTGTACAATTCTTACCTTCAAAGAAGACTTACCATTACTGAAGGAAAAAATAACAGAATATTTCGATAACTTCAAAGAGGAAGAATAAAAAAATCTAAGCTAATTTTATTTTTTTATAAAATTTTATCTCATATGAAAGAACATGAATTTAGAATATTCGGAACTCATGACAGAAGAAGAGAACGAACAACATGTAAAAGATTATGCAAAATTTCTGAAGGTATATAAAGCATTTAAACAATATCTAAATGCTTCTAAAGATTATGCAAAATTTCTGAAGGTATATAAAGCTTATGAAAAAGCGTATGAAAAGTTTATACATTGGGGAATTGTTGTAAAATATCGATATGAAGACTAACCAAAAATATATTTTTGTTCAAATAACGTCAGGGTCAATTTCTTCAACCATTTCACTTCCTTCGTCAATGTCAATTGAAGCTTCTTCAACCTTTGGTAAGAATTTCTGTATAACATCTTTGTTCGTTATTGTCTTCAGAGATGAAGGATAATATTTCACATTTGTTTCACCCTTCTTATATTCTTTCTGTTCGGAAAGATTCATAGCAATACTGAAGAAGTCAATGTTAGAGTTCTTTATGACAGTATAATGAGTATCTTTGACATTCACGAAGAAACCTTTTGTTTCAAAACTACTGCTAACTCTTGTGAAGTATAACGTTTGCGGTCAATGACAATAGCTAATGGTCTGACATACTGACCAAACTTAGATTCTTTCACAAACTTCTTGTTAAAGATAACATTAACGTTTGAAGCACCATTGAACTCATTCTTGATGACAGTAGCGAGAGCATTGTATGAAAAGAACTTGCAATCTTGCATGTGTTTCATTAAAATAAAAATATTAAATTATTTTGAAAAATAACTTAAAAAAATCTAATCTAATTTTTTCAAAAAATATTTTTTTATTTCCTACTAAAGATGTATCGGAAGTTGTCTAAGTTAGAACACTCGGAAATAAAACAACTTCTTACAGAAGCTAACATAGATGTTGCAAAACATTACGCGACAAACAAAAAAGCACTCGCTGACATCCTCAATGACTATAATGGTGCAATAAGTTATGATAGAATTCATGAGTTCATAAAGCCGCAACGCGGCGAGGACGAAGTCCATGCAAGAACTTTTCCTTTAAATGACGTTGCTATTGACTTATATCATAGACGTTCAGTACCTCATGAAGTAAGAAGAGAAATGTTTGACATAACAAATGCAAACGTTGGTGAAACAAGAAGAAGAGACGACACACTGAAACAACAGAGAAGAGAGATGTTTAAAAGTGCTATAGAACAAGTTCGCAAAGCTAACGATGTCATTCGTTCCATTGACGACAAACCAAAAGAAGGTGAGAGATGGTTAAAGAAAGATGAAGAGAATAGGAAGAGAAATGTGAAGTCAGGCAATAGACTCATTGACTTTAACATCGAAGCTTTAGATGAACCAAACAGAGAATATTTACACAAACATTTCGGTAAGGTTTTCATGAGACTCTTAGAGAAGATTAAAATAAACTCACAACAGAGATGGATGGTATGTTATAAACTTGGTGGAAAGTATGAATGTTCTACGTTAAACCTCAATAATATTGGAACATTACTACATCAGCTCTTGAAGGAGAACTTTATATCAGAGATAGAAGCAAATGCCGCAGGTATTGTTGAAATGCACTATGACTTCTTCTTGACAAACATAAAGAATCTTACTGAAATAAAGATGTATGATTTAACAGAATATGAAGGCTTAACGATGTCAGATGTAAAGAAAGGCAAACCAAAAAAGAGACCATATAGAGATGAAAGCACACTGACAAATGACCAGAAAGCCATTTTGGAAGCTCTTAAGCAAACAGGAAACCCAGCACTTATAGAAAGCTTTTGGAAAGATAATGGTGAAAAGAAGTTTTATAAGAAGAGAAGCGGTCAGTTCTGGAAGTATCTTTGCACATTACCTATAAATCTTGAACGCTACCAAATCTTCAATGAACTGAACAAAAGAACTGCAACACTTATGACAGAAGACAATTGTTTCGTTTATGCTTGCATTCAGGCTGGAGTAAATGAAGAAACTATTGACCACATGAGAGAAGTCATTCGTGTTAGAGACTTTCCTCAAAGTAAAGTACAAGAAATTTCTGACGCAACAGGTATAGCATTTAATGTTACCATTGGTTACTTCAATGACTCAAGATATAATGAAATAAAGAGATACATACCAAAAGAATGTGAAACTGTTCGAACTATTGACCTACTTCTTGTTGAAGACCACTACATGCTAAACGAAAGACTTCCAATGACAACATACTTCGTCAGAAATTACAAAGAAATCTTGAAGGAGTGTGGTGGAATGAACATTGAGAAACAGATGAAAATATATACAAAGAGAGAGAACAAATATGTAGTTCGTTATGATAGAACTACACCGCTATGGGATGTTATGAAAACATTGTGGGAGTGCAAATATTTCGAACCTATTTCTTATGGAGAACTTTTCACATATACGACTGACTTATATAAACAGAACCTTGCACCATTTAAAGATTTGACATATGCTCCAAAGTATTGTGTACAACTGAAGAAGAAAGCAGAGTCAAAAGAAGTAAATAAAAATAAGTGCAAGTTCATTCCTGAGCACGTTTTCTTTGCTGACTTTGAGTGTAGTACCGATGGCTTTCATAAAGCTTTTAACATATGTTACGACAGTGAAGATGGTTCAGTGAGTGAAAGCATTTGGGGTCAGAACTGTGCAACAGAATTTTTGGAACGACTTCCTGACAAGAGTTTAATATATTTCCATAACCTCAGCTATGATATAAACTTCATCTTAAGACACATGACAGAAGTGAAAGGAACTCCCATCATTAAAGGTTCACGAACAATGCAAATAACTGGCTTATATAAAGGAAGGGCAATTATTATAAAAGACTCTTACAGTGTTATAAATAAGAAGCTTAAACTATTTCCTGCTATGTTTAACTTACAAACAGGACCGAAAGAAGTATTTCCATATAACTACTACAGCAGTACTTTGTTAGCAAATGACAACAGAACTGGTGTCATTTCTGAAGCATGTAAGTTTATCCAGGATGCAGATACATTTATGAAAAACATAGATTCCATCAAAGGTTGCAGAATAGATGAAAACCACTTCGACTTAGAAAAATATAGCACATTTTATTGCAAACAAGATGTAAGAATTTTAAGAGAAGGTTTTGTAAAGTTCCGCAATGACTTATTGAAAGAGTTTGATTTAAACGTTTATGACTACGTTAGTATTTGTTCAATTGCTAACAAATTATTTGAGAACAGAGTGTACTTCCCGAATGGAAATTTATATGACCTCTCAAATAAACCAAGAGAATTTATTTCGAGATGCATTCAAGGTGGAAGATGTATGTTGTCAGATAACATGAAACAAAAGAGCGAAAAGAAACTCATTGCTGACTTCGACGCTGTTTCATTATATCCATCAGCTATAGCAAGACTTTATACTTTAGAAGGAATTCCAAAGGTTATGAAGGATGAGATGTTAAGCACAGAGTATCTCATGAGACATTTATTCGATGACGACCAAAAGGAACCCATTGGTGAAAAGTTTATGTCTGGCTTCTTTGTTCTCATTAAGATAACAGAGATTGGAATACATAGACACTTTCCTTTAATAGTTTGTGACCCTGAACTAAATCCAGAACTTAACGTTCCCAGAAGTTCAAACACTTGCTGTTTAATGTATGTTGACCATATAACATTACAAGACCTCATAAAATATCAAGGTGTCAAATGTGAAGTGTTGCAAGGATACTATTACGATGGAAACAGAGATATTAGAATAAGAGATGAAGTAAAGAAGTTGTTTGAGTTAAGGTTAAAGTATAAGAAAGAAGGAAATCCTTTGCAAGAAAATATAAAGCTCATTCTGAACAGTATTTATGGCAAAACTATTCTATCTCCTATTGAGTCAAAAATAACCATAGTAGATGACAAAGATGCTATAAGATATGCCATCAGAAACTACAACCATATAGTGAAGTTCGAAGGTTTGGATGGTTCAGATAAAACTATTTTCAAGCTAACGAAAAGCATTTGCAGACACTTTAACTTCTGTCCACTTGGTGTAAATATTCTATCAATGTCGAAGAGAATAATGTGTGAAGTATTCTGTACTGCTGAAGACTTAGGAATGGACATCTTTTATAGCGATACGGACAGTATGCATCTCTACAATGAAGATATCCCTCGTTTAGCTGAAGAGTTTGAGAAACGTTATGGAAGAGTTCTCATTGGTAAAAACCTTGGTCAGTTTCATAGTGACTTCGCAGAAATAACACCTGGAAAACAAAGTTTAGCATACAAGTCAATATTTTGTGGAAAGAAGACCTACATAGACTTACTCACTAACGATTTAAATGAAGTTGCATTTCACTGCAGAATGAAAGGCGTGAAGCAAGATGTTATTGCTTTAACCGCTAATGAAATGTTTCCTGACTCTGTTCAGTGTTTCTATGATGAAGATAAAGGTTTAATGGTTCCGCAAGGAAAATTTGACAAAGACTCTGAGTTCAGTGTTATGAAGTTATATAAAGCACTTTATGACGGTCAAGAGATTGGATTTGACTTATGTAAGTCTTCTAGTCCTTGCTTTGCTGAAAAGTTTAACTTCTCAATAACGACTAAAACAAGCTTTATTCGTAAGTTGAAGTTCTGAGGTCATTTATTTTTGTCAGCAATGAGGTCATTCGTGATAAAAATAAAGCTAGCGTAGATTTTACAATACTGCGATGGTAGAGTTTAAGAGTTGTGCTTCAATGTAGAGACAGTCCTTATGGTCTGGAGGTAAGAACACTGGGCAGTTATGGTCATGAGTGGAGAACATGTCTATCCAAAACTCACGATTGAAGCCAGTTAATTTATAGTATTTAGGGTTAGGAAGTGGTGAAGTTCTTGTATGACCAATGAACTCATTTTCAACTCCCTTACTTAAGTTTGAATATAATATAGCTTGCTTTCTATCCCAAATGCCAGGTGTTACAATCTTTGAAAATTCATTTTTCCTCGGAAGCATTGCATCATAATTGAAAACATTCTTGAAATCATCACTTGGTTCAGAGATTTGAAATCTTATACGTAATGGATTTTCTTTCTCTTTAGCTACTTCATTGAATGGTGAGAATACAATGAATTGACAGTCATGAGTTCCATCTTCATTTTCATTAAATTCATAATGAAAGTCTATAAGTTGTGGCTGACTACCTTCTTCTTTCAGTTGTGCAAAAAACTCACGTAAAGGCTGTAAAGTTTGTACTTCAATGTTGAACTTTTTCTCGAACATCTCATTAAATGAAATCATACATTGTTGCAATGTTGTATCGTCTTTAAAGTATTTGTATATGTGAATGTTTTGGGCGCTTAAAGACTGTTCGTCATTTTCTATCTCGACTTGAAGTATAAAGTCAACCTTTCTGAAAGCATGTGTTATATACATAGATGTTATGCCAATGTACTTCTCTTCATTTATGTTCACAATCCAGTCTGTTGGAAACTTAAACGTTACTCTGTTCCCCTTTATTTTGACGTCAGGGTTTTCACTACTGAATGCAACAGATAAAGGTATTTGTCTATACATTTAGTTCCGATAAAAATAAACCATTTACTCTTTCTTTGCTTCAGCTTCTTTAGCTTTTGCTTCAGCTTCTTCTCTAGCTTTCTTCGCCAGCAAACGTGGGTTCTTTTGTCTTCCAGCAGCTAATGCAGCAAGTTGTTTTTCACTAAGTTTTCTCTTTGGTCTCTCTGGCTTTTGTTCCTTCAGTTCGGATAAAATTTGCTCGCGAATTTCTTTCTTCAATGCTTCAACATCTATGACCCCTTGGGTCTTGTCCGTAGGCTTGTCTGAGTCATTTGACTGCAGATAAAAAACAAAATTAAAACTTTAACCGATGTAAAATGAGCTTGTCAAAATCAGAGCGAGAGTCTATTATATTATGACGCAAGAGGAATACAACATCCTTTCTATTACGTAAGTCAGAGTAAAGATGGTAAAATATACGTAAGAAAAAGAAAGGTTCCATTAGCGAATGCAGAGAGCGACAACATTAAGGTGTATGGCACCGAGGGCGAAGCCCATATAAAAACCTTCTATTCAAACTGAAAAGTCAATAGAACAGAAGAAAAGAAGCCAGATTGTTCTTTCAATAACGAACCAAGAGCTTATTGCAAAGTTCGTGAATTTCATTGAAAAGCAAACCGAGTCAAAGAACCCTGACCCCAGTGAAAGAAGTTGAGACAAAAGAGAATGTACAGTTCATTGAAAATGTCAAGAAACAACTTCCACCACGAATGCCAAGAAGAAGAGTGAATATAAGAGTAAATAGATATTTTTATCTGAAGTAAATACATGCAGAACGAACAGTTAAACGAATTTACTCCAGCAGAGCATATTCATCAGATTCGCTCATATTTCGATATCATAGACAATGCAGTTCAAATTGGTGACACTAATAGAAAATATTCTGACGCAAAGATTCCATCACAACCTGGAACTGCTAAAGATAACACATGGGTAACATTCAATCTCTCACCTCCTGGTGAAAATATGTTGGACCTTTACAATACATTCATTACGTATAAAATGGAAGGTCAATTTATTGTAGATAAAGAAATTGGTTCAGGTTCCAATAAAACAAACCCACCAGGATTTTGGATTGGTTTCGATGACGCTTTCTATGCAGTTGCTGGATATCAAATCCTTGCAAATGGTCGTATCGTATATTCTCAAGACAACGCAAGAGAAGAAGCATATATAACTTCAAACTCACAAACTACCGAACAAATAAAGAAAGTAGATGTTTTCTCAAAGACTCGACATGAAGATGTATGGAGTCATTCGGGAACATGCAGAACAGGACAAATTGTTAGTGGTCCAATTACAGCAGGAAAATCATTTGATTTTAAGCTTCGTTTAAGAATTCCTGTTAGAAGATTCCTTCCATTAGAAGCTATTCGATTTATTCCAGCTTTTGCTGGAAACATTCAGCTTAAAGTAAAGTTCAGTAGCGACGCCTTACAATGCACATCTATATCTGTAAATGATATCATTGCTTTCAATCCAACTCTTAAAGTTGCATTTGCTTCAGATTCAAATCCACCGACAAATAAATTTGTTCCATGGAATGAACCATTCACTATGATAACGAAGGCAATAGAAGCTAGTGGAACAGTTACTATTACAACTGTAACCCAGCAACTATTTCGAACAAAGATGGATTTTAATGAATGTTTCATTCATCCAAAGTCATTCTCTTTAGACCCTAACATTTATACAGAACTTGTAGAACATTATACAAACGAGGCTTTATGTTTTCCTGTTAAAGTTATGGATTGGATTCCTATGGACGGTTCATTCTCAAAGAATACAGATAGTTCAAGTGCAACATTTACAGCAGCTTATACGCCTATTAATGTTAAAAGTATTTGGGCACTATTTAGAAAGAAAGACAACTATTATGTTAATTTTGAGAACCCTAAGTTTAAATATCTTCAGCTTTCCATGGGAGCTTATGGAAATATGCCTGCAGAACCTGAAAAATCATATGGACCTGTATTTTATGAAATGGTTGCGAACGCTTGCAATACAAACAATGATATGATAGGATTTAATGAAGATGTTATGAGGTCATTGGTGGATGATGGTAGTGTGGAACATAAATGGGATAGCTATGACAACACACATTTCTTATGTGGTTTTCCAACAGAAGTGGACTTTTGCTTCCAGCAAGGTCAAACATCTACTGCTCCAATAACATACAAATTGTCTGTTAAAGGACCTATTGAACTAGCAACTGAAAACGTACCAAAGCCACTTATTGGATTTATGAGGGATTGTTGCTTTGCATACAGTGACGTCAGGCATACCAATAATAAGACTTGACGACTATAACTTAGCTACGGACGACAGTGAAGAATAAAGGATGAACGTTTATTTTTAAAGCTTATAAATGAGTTCTTCATCAAGCTCTCGTGAACCTTCACCATCTGTGAAACAAACTTTACCAAACGATTATGGAGCACCTATTGAATATTTCTTACGAGCTGCACAATGACAAAGAGCAGTCTCACCAAGGTTAGGTGTTCCACCAGCTCCTGTCAAAAATAGCATTTGGTCAAGTCCTTATATAAAATATGGTCTCCCACTAGGTTTGCTAGCTACAGCAGGAGCAGTAATGATGTTGAAAAGAAATAAAGCAAATGTTGTAAATAATACTGAAGTAGCTGAAGTTAAACAAACTCCGACACCATCGCCAAAACCAACGCCTTCACAAACAACACCTTCAATGACTCCTGAACCTATGGAATTACAAACTCCTGTTCAAAAGTCAACTCCAAAACCGACTCCAACATTTAAACCAGAACCTACACCACAAATAAATCGTAAAACTCCTGCGTTTCCTTACTGAAAAAAATAACGTTATTTTTATTTAATATTAAAATTTTTATTTGATTGAAATGACGACTAAAGTCACTGAAGCAATGAAACAAAAGTTTTTGGTAGAATACATTAAATCAGGAACTATTCCAGAAGGTTTTTACATTCATACTATGAAGGATGGTAGAGTTCAGTTTAGAAAGATAAAGCAACCATTAGATAAAGAAGGAATTTTGAGAAAGATTAAACTTCATGAGGACAACATTGCTGAACTTAAGAAGAAGTTAGAAGAGTTGGAGAAAGCAGACGACAGTGAGTTATAAAGCAATGAATTCAACAGGGTAGAAATGAGGTTAGAAATCGGGTTAGAAATCGGGTTAGATCTCACCACTTCACCTAAATTTATTTTTTGTGCTATGTTTTCATACGTGTGAGGGTGGTGATATATCATTTAAACATTTATTCTTCCTTCCTGAGCATAACATGTTCTTTCAAATACATCCGAGACCAGTTGACTTTTCATTGACTGTGTATAAAGATAGAAATAGTTATATCATTAAACCATACGATGACGAAGGTAAGTTATGTAAATTGTACGTTAAGAAGTTAGAGAAAGTTTATGGCTTCAAGTATGACTACAATAGGGTTAACACTGATGATGAAGATATTGAGGAAAATTTATGAGAACATTAGTGAAGTTGTTAGTGAGAACGATAGTGAGGTGAAATTGTTGGCGGCTTTGTAAATATTTAAGGTTAAGTTAGTTTTTGCGTTCATGTTGTAAAATATACGTTAACGGTTTTGTAAAGTGTCAAATTCACAAGTATTGGGTAAGGTGGAACGCAGTGCCACCATACCCAAGACTTGTATACTAACTCTTCTTTTGTACTAGAACTTTGTCTGGAACAACTTTTGGTCTTGCTAACAATGAAAAGTTTGTTTCGTCTTTTGGTACAAAACTTTCTGTAAGCTTGTCATCTGGAATTGGTTCCAACAAACCTTTCTCGAAAAGAATGTTTACAGCTCTGACAATGTTGCACTTACTTTTACAAAGAATGTGTTTGTAAGACTTTCGTTCAACATGAAGTGGTTGTGGACAATTACAATCTTCAACCATGGTAAGTCTTTGTCAACAACATAGTCGTCATGTGAAGAACCTTAGCTGTAGGTATGTTGACTCGGATATTGACATTTGCCAACGGTGCAATTTTTGCCAATTGACCTCTGAGAATGTACCTTGTCTTCACACATGACTCAAGATACTTCATCTTCTCTTCTGAAACAAGACCAGAGTTCCTGAGACATGTAAGAATGCAAGGTTCATTGACAATTGTTTCAATTGAATTGTAAATTCCATACCTTGTCAAGTCAATGTCAGACTTATTTATGAAGGGGAAGTATCCAGCATGTTGTCTGACTGCTTGAGGTTAGGTTGGTACCATTCGAACTTGACACTTGCAATTCCTTCAATTGCATTCAAAATGTCTGAGTCGGAGTCAAACATTTGTTCTCTCTTTGTAGTCTTGAAAGCGTCAAGAAGTTTTGCGGCTGTTTGTTCATTGCCATGTGCATAGTAAATGTGACCATCCAAATCTGTTATGGTCAATCTGAGATTGTGTCCTTTCTTATTTCCGTCTTGTATGGCAGCAAGTACTCCCATGAAGCCTTCTTTGTTCTTTCCTTCGTCAAAGTTTACTGTAAAGGTTCGACCAGATGTAATTTGACTTCTAACTTCACGATACTTTTCATATGCATATCTTGTTCTTTCCATGGGAGCATGTGCGTCTTCACCTTTTCCTTTTTTCCTTCTCAAAGGATGCAATTGGTTCGTCATGTTTCCAGTAGAATCTGGCAAAGCCGTCGTGTCCTTCAACTTGAGGTTCACTAACATCGAAAGGCATGTCCATAAGACGTTCTTCTTCTAACCTCTCTAGTCTGTTTGGATAATTGGCACGTGCTGTTTTCCAAATCCATTTCGTAGCGAAGACCAGACAATTTGTCATAGACTTTTATGGGTCTTCCCTTCCTATATTTAAACTTCTTCGAAACTCTCCAACCATATCTTTGTAACTCTGCTTTTATTCTAGCAGACTTCCTATCCATTCTATATGGGGGCATTTTTATAAAAATAAAAAAATATTTTTTTCTTTACTTTACATAACCACCTGCTGCCATAAGTCTTTGACGCCAACCCATACCAGCTAATGAAGGTTGACTTGGTTTAGTTTGGAAACTAAACTTTGGTTTTGGTTTATCTTCAGTTTTTGGTTTTTCTTCTTCTATCGGTTTTTCGTCACTTTTCGGTTCCTCTGACTTTACTTCACTTGCAGGAACAGTTGTGTCGTCAACATCTTCATAAATATCATATGCCATTTGTTTTTGTTTTCCTTTCAACTTTTTGTGTTTGTTGTAAAGTTTAGAATATTTCGACTCTAAGTCAATGAGATGTTCTATAATGAACTGTTGGTCAGTGAAGTAAACTTTTCCATCTGTTGTCTCGAAAGCTCCTTCAGACTTCAATATTTTATTTGTGAGAGTCTGTTTCTTTTTTGAGATACTAGCCGTTCCATTTTTATGAAAAGTGACTTTGTAGTTAGGGTTTGTATTTCCAGACCTGGCACTTTCTATTATTGAATTTTTCTCTTCATCTGTAAGTTCTTTGACAGGTTTTGACAATGGTTCTGAACTTTTTGTTTGTGGTGTCAAATCTACCGTTTCAACTTCTTCGGTCATTTCATCTCAGTAAAAAATTTTAATTTGGTTTGTTTTCAACTGGTTGTTGTTGTGGAGGTGGGATGGTTCCTTTAATAATATCATTCAGTTTCACATGCTGAGCCTGACTATATGGTATCGGTTTAAATGCTGGAAGCCGACAAATCCATCTTGAACTCATTTGTCTCAATGCTGCATTGTTCATTTCATCTCAATAAAAAACTTTACATTCCCCACGTTTGAGGCGGTTGAGGTTGGTTATTGTTTACCCACTGTTGTGCAGGGTTATATCCTCTGTTAAAGAATCTTTCACCTTGGTCCATATAGTGTCCTGCTTGGTTATAGTAGTCATTTGCTTTGTTATAATAGTTTCCTGCTTTCTTCCTACATTGTCCATCCATCCTTGAACTTTTCCTCTTGTTTCAGGATTTGGAATAAGATTTGTTGCATCTCGTGCTACATCCCAACCTTTCTGTACAGTTTGTATAATAGGTTGTGCTTTCTCTTTCAGTATACCTAATGTACTCAAAATCTTCCTTCCAATTCCAAATGCACCTCTGGCTATTGTTCCCACTGCGGGTAAAAATCTAGATGCGACTCCTGCTAATGCGCCAAATAAACCCATTTCTTATAGGGTAAAAAATGACGAATCCGAACAAGGACCCCTATGTTTCTAAAGCGACAAAGAAAGCACTCATGATAAAAATCTTTAGTTCAACACCAAATGCTTGGTTTATGGATATCTTGGAAAACATTCCGAGGTATAGAGAAGATGGACCTCCATACTGGTTAATATTTGTTGGTCAAAACACAAGATACTGTGAAGCCATACCATTATGGTCCAAAAATATTTTAGATGTGAAAACTGCTTTGACAATATTCGTTGACAAATACCATCCAACAAAACTGACATCTGACTGTGAAAGTTCTTTCAAATCAGATGATATTAAAAACTATCTGCGTTCAAAAAATGTAAACCAATATTTCATTGTCGACCAAAACCATTCTGCTCTTGGTGTCATTGACGGTTGTATAAAAATGTTAAGAGACTTAAACCAACCACAAGGTGGTGAAGCAAATGAAATGTCATATGACGACAAATATAGACACTTCTCCATGGCAAAGATGAGACAAGTTTTAAATATTTACAATAACCGTAAACAAAAAGGTTTGGGAAACCACTCCCCCGAAGAAATGAAAAACAACCCTGACTTAGAGAAAGACTATATATTTAATAATTTAGTCAAAAGAGACAAACAAGAAAGAATGCCGGGCTTCAAACTTCAGAAAGGTGACAAAGTAAAAATAGAAATACCTAAACGCGACCCATATGAAAATACTATTGACTATGACAACAATGGGAACCCGACAGGTACTCACATTCGTGTTCGTAAAAATAGAAGAAAGTATACAAGAGAATATTATGAAGTTTTAGGCAAACATGGCAAAATGTACACACTGCAAGCAGAAGATAAAACTACTATTGCCAGACCCCGTTTCAAACTTGTCAAAGTTCAAGGTGGTATACTTTCAAAGACAGTTCCTAACAAATATAAGACAACTCCTGACGAATATGCTAAAGAAGTTGAAAATGACGACTAAGCATTTCTATACCATGCGTAAACTGTCATGTAAGGTGGCATGTAGTCTTTACTTTGTCCCGTTGTTTGCATATATCCTGAAACGTGATGTGTATGGTCTCCTTCTCCCCAATTGTCATCCCAGTAACAATTTATAGCAAACTTAACGTCGTCTTTAACATCATATCCTTTACCTTTTGTCATTCCTGTCCAACCCCAATATCTATGCCTATGCCAACCTTCTTGAGATGTACTTAAATTTATGTAATGACTGTGTGCAGGTAAATTTTCACCTGAAATCGTTTTACTTCCACCTGTTTCCTTTGAAGAGTTTGCACAATACAAAAACCTGTCGACTATTTGTTCCCATACACCAACACCAAACATTACTTGAGGACCTCTTGCATCCATAGATGTATAAATAGAACCTACTGGGTTCATTAAATCAAACATATGAGATATTATAGGATTGTCTCTTTTGAACTTAAAATATAGTGCAACTATTTCAGGTTTCTTCTGGTTTGTGTCAGAATATTTTTTATAATATAATCTTATGTTTTCAGGGTAGGTAAAATCTTGACTATAATATTTATTTCTGTCATCTGTATAATTATATACTATTCTCGTTTTTTCTATTGCATTATATCTTTTATATCTATAATAATCTAAATATAATGTTAGCTTTTGTTCATCTACATGTGGTGTTCTGTCGTCATCTCCATAGTCATAATAATGTGGTGCTGGAACTGGGTCAGGCAATGTCATATCTGCCATTTCATAAACTCTTAAATATTTCTTTTGTTCGTCTCCATATAAGTTTAAGTAGCAGTTGTTGTCTAATGGAACTTTAACTTGTGTACCATCATTCTTTTTATAGCTTACATACATTTCATTGTTATTTTTCGGAATGAGTTTATGCCGTGTACCATTTTTTAAGGACTGTACCAACTGCCATCTAAAATATTTATTTTCTTCATTGACAGAAAAGTCACCAACAATAGTTTCAATATTTTTTGTTCCTATCAAACTTTGGTATATTTCATTGACATATGTTTTATCTGCTTTATTTTCAAGGCTAACGTTTAAGTTTGTAATATCAGATATAGAATGTGTATGTCCAACGGCACTTTTCCTGTTTAAGGTTTCTTGTAAGTTTGTAATATCAGATATAGAATGTGTATGTCCAACGGCACTTTTCCTGTTTAAGGTTTCTTGTAAGTTTGTAATATCAGATATAGAATGTGTATGTCCAACGGCACTTTTCCTGTTTAAGGTTTCTTGTAAGTTTGTAATATCAGATATAGAATGTGTATGTCCAACGGCACTTTTCCTGTTTAAGGTTTCTTGTAAGTTTGTAATATCAGATATAGAATGTGTATGTCCAACGGCACTTTTCCTGTTTAAGGTTTCTTGTAAGTTTGTAATATCAGATATAGAATGTGTATGTCCAACGGCACTTTTCCTGTTTAAGGTTTCTTGTAAGTTTGTAATATCAGATATAGAATGTGTATGTCCAACGGCACTTTTCCTGTTTAAGGTTTCTTGTAAGTTTGTAATATCAGATATAGAATGTGTATGAGTCTTATCTGCTTTTGTCTCTAATGTTTCCTTAAGACTTGGTATTTGGTTAATATAATGTATATGAGTCTTTTTAGAATATTCGTTTTCAGCTCTTGTCACTTCACTTGACATTTTATTGTCAACATATGTTTTGTCTGCTAGTTCAGGATGAGTATGTTCTTTTGTTGCATAAGCATTGTTGGCTCTTTCTTCTTCTTTTGCTATTGCATCGTCTACATATTCTTTGTCAGCTTTGTTGTCAACATCTGCTTTCAAAAGAAGTTCATTTATAGGTTTCTCGTTTAAAGTTCCTTTTGTTGGATTTATACAGACAGTATTGTTCTTATTGTCTTGAAACAGAAACTCATCTGTCATTGGGTTTAATGTCAGTTTTAAGTTTCCTTCTTTCAATGACTCAGATATCTTAGAATAGTTTGAAAAGTTTGTTGTGTTCTTATTTAGAGCTTGCACAATGAGTTGTCGGTTGTGTTGTATTTCTCTCATAGACGCTGTTTCATTTGACATTTTTATTCTAGATAAAATATGCTTCCAATAGAAAAAGAAAATTCAAGAGTTGCTACAACTAAACCATTAGATGAACTTTTTACTAATGTCGGTCAAAAGTTTGAGACAGAGACCGTAAAGCATGAAGGCTATCGTTTTGACTACCCATTAAGATGGCTAAGAGACCCATCTGTCACAAAAGCTATTGGCTTTCGTAGAATGAAGTTCATTTCAGAAGCCATACATGGTTTCCCATTTACGGTCGGTTTTGAAGTTCGATACTATAACAAAGAAAAACGTATGTATGAGAAATTTGAACAAGGAAAACTTTTACAAGTTAATTTGCTTATAAACTTAGAAACAACTCTTCAAGCTTTTCAAGAAAAAATAAACGATATCTATATTGAATATGCAAACCAGTTTAACATTGACGAAGGAGAATACCATCTCGATATTATTTATGACAGGAAAAATGCAACTGTTAAAATCAATAAAATAGAAGACCTTGGAGAAAACGTTTATATTTCTACAAAATATAACAACTTGGCATGGTATAGATTTATGAGGATGTTAAATCAGCCTGCAGCATATCCAGTACACCCGGACTATTATGAAGTCAAAAACCGAATGGAACATATGAAAATATTTTCGACCCAGATGCTATTATTGTTCATGCTTCATTTTCTGGTGCGCAAAACTCTTTCTTATGTCTGATGAATGACTTTTACGAAAAACCTACAAAATTATATGAACCGCCGAGTGGAAGTATTTCAGACTTTCAAGTATGGTTTACTACAGATGGAAGAAAAAGAATAATTCCATTATACCATGCGTTTTACTTAGAACTTAGTTTCATATACAACTACTATCGAACGATAAAAATATAATTTTTAATACGGTTGAGGTGTTGGATTTGGTTGCCAACTAGACTGTGGTGCAGGTTCAGGCTGTTGTATAACAGGAGCTTGCTCTTCTGGTTCAGGGTCTTTAGGTTATAATACCAACAAACTGACCTACTCTTTTACCAATATTTTTGACACCGTTCCATACTCCTCTTCCGACAGATTTTATTCCATTCCATATACCTCTTCCAACATTTCGAAAGAAGTTTCCTATCTTACTGAAGAAACCCATTTTACTATATGTAAAAATCTAATGTCCGCCTAGTCTCTTACGTTTCCTGTTGAGTTCCATAGCATTCTTTAACTGGAGCTCATACATTCTGTTTCTCCTCTGGTAGAAAACATATTCTGGGTCAACTCCTGTGTTCGCGTCATCTGCATAAAGTTGTTTATATCCCACTTCAGGGTTTGTATAAAACTCTTTCCATCTCATATTTGCATACCATGGTGGCAAACCTAACGCAGCGTCATTTGACATGGCAATTTGCATTTGTACATCTGTTGGCACTTGACCATAGTTTGCCATTGCAGTTTGTATTCTAACTTCATTTGGAATATTCTCTGGGTTTGGTTGTCCAGGTTGCTGTGCATTCGCTAAGTTCTGTGCGTCCATTTAATATTAGATAAAAATATCTCTTACGAGTACATATACTGAACATTTGCAGGCATTGGTTCATCTTCATATTCTCTGTACTTTTCTGCCACGTCAAATAAATAAATGACACAATGGAAAAAACCTAAAACAAGTAGTCCTATTTCAAACCACATTTACTTACTAATAAAATTTCTTTATTGTGACACTTTCTCCAGTTTATAGGACCTCTCTCATATTCTATCTTGTCATATATAAACTCATAGTCATGTATGTCCTCTAACCATCTCATAACGGTTTCCAAACCACTTTTATCGGATGTAAAGTAAAAGCATGGATGGTTATGTATAGCGTCTAAAGTTTCTAAAGAGTCTCTCAAAGTCCAGTCTACTTGGTATTGAAAATCCCATGTGTTATAGAACGGCGGGTCCACTATAAAGAAAACATTTTCCTTGTCTTTATATTTTTCATACAACTCTGTCCAATGACATCTCACAAACTCTATACCCTCAATATATTTTTCTATGTCCTCTTTGAAAACATTTGTATAGTTAAGATATAAAACTTTTGACATAAGTGTTTCAATGTCATGAACTCTTATAGCACCACTATATAATAGTCTAGCAGATATACTATCCCGGTCTATATATTCTGCTTTTTTCAAAACCTCTCTCACAATATTTTTCTTATCTAATGGTATACGTTCCATCTTACCTATAGGTATCTTTTCTTTTAACTCTTTCAATATATTGTTTGTGTCTGGAATATGTTTGAGACGGTTCATATAGTTGTCGAAGTCATTGCATATAATCTTTGAGTCAGGAAATACGGTATGACATAAATGAGATATATAGAAACTTCCACCGAACAAATCTACAAATGTTAGACCATTCGGTAGTTTCTTAAGTTCTCTCAATATAATATCTTTACATCTACTCTTATTTCCAAAGAACGGTAACGGTGGTTTTGTAAAATTCATTTATATATAATAATAAAAATGTTTTTACCCGAAAAGTGACAGAAAAGTGACAAAACATGAAAACATATATAATTTGTGAAAAGCGACACAAAAAGTGACATTTAAAAAGTGACACCGTTAATATGATGTAAATAACAACGGTTTTGGTTTTGTCACCGGCTGGTTGGCTGGGGTTCGGTCCTCCTCTTGGGTCTTGGGCAAAATTTCTTATGGGCTAGAGGGCGCAACGCGCCTGGAAGCCCTCCGAATAAAAACTTCATTTATACTAAACATCTTCGGGGCTAGAGGGCGCAACGCGCCTGGAAGCCCTCCGAATAAAAACTTCATTTATACTAAACATCTTCGGGGCTAGAGGGCGCAACGCGCCTGGAAGCCCTCCGAATAAAAACTTCATTTATACTAAACATCTTCGGGGCTAGAGGGCGCAACGCGCCTGGAAGCCCTCCGAATAAAAACTTCATTTATACTAAACATCTTCGGGGCTAGAGGGCGCAACGCGCCTGGAAGCCCTCCGAATAAAAACTTCATTTATACTAAACATCTTCGGGGCTAGAGGGCGCAACGCGCCTGGAAGCCCTCCGAATAAAAACTTCATTTATACTAAACATCTTCGGGGCTAGAGGGCGCAACGCGCCTGGAAGCCCCACTACCTTTTTTTTAATAAATCTTGTTTTGAAGTTCATTTGCCGAACACAGAACTTTTTTCCGAATTCGAAATTATTTCAAATAAATTTTTCTTATTTTTTGCTTTTTAAGATAGTCATTATACATAAAATATTAGTAAACTATTTTTATTTGAATTACTAAAACTTTCAATTTTTTTATTCTCTGATTTAGACTCTCAAATGATACTTTATCCAATATATATGATTTTCTTCTGCTATGAGCTATATTACAATGAACATTTCTTCATACACCAAGATTCGGCATAAAATTTCGTATTCCATGTATGTTACTATCATTCTAATATAAAATTTATGAAACTCCGAAGCTATTTTTGAATAGTGAATTATTAAATATTTAACACTGTTAGTAAATTTATAAAATTCGATAATTCAGATTTTACAATTAGTATAAAAGGATATATTTTTACATTATGATACGTAAAAGCATAGCAATGTTTTAATAGTTCTTAAATCAGTATTTATAGCAGTGAAAATTGAAATACACTAAATTTATAGAGTTAGTTTTGGTGTATGATGTAGTGTTCATTGTAATATAGCTCATAGCAGAAGAAAATCATATATATTGGATAAAGTATCATTTGAGAGTCTAAATCAGAGAATAAAAAAATTGAAAGTTTTAGTAATTCAAATAAAAATAGTTTACTAATATTTTATGTATAATGACTATCTTAAAAAGCAAAAAATAAGAAAAATTTATTTGAAATAATTTCGAATTCAGAAAAAAGTTCTGTGTTCGGCAAATGAACTTCAAAACAAGGTTTATTATAGGGAATTCTAACCATTATACTATGCACTTATGGACTCCAAAATTAATTTTCAAGTATTTGATCACACCCCAACCCCAAGGGCCATTGTTTTGTGAATATGAAGAAACAGTGCAGGCCACTATTATTTTCTATCCGTAAACTCACATGATTTATATACAAAAGTTCGTAATTTTTGAATATATTCGTATTTTGAGAATATATTGCTTTTACTAATAAAAAATCAATAAAATACAATCTTCATATATATTAAAATATTATCCATTTCATATCAACCCTTGATTGAAGATAATCGAAATCAAGAAATTTTCTAGATCATTCAAATAAAAAACTGAACTCATCATTACAATTTACATATTATATAAATAATATTTTAATATATATAAATGCCAAATTCCAGTTTTTTAGGAAATTGGCAATCTACTTTTCAGATTTGGGAAACTTTTGTTTCTCTGGAATCCTTGTCTTATAAGGGATATTTCAATTTTTTATGCGCGTGGATGGGTTTTGAGATTTTGTATCTTTCATAAAAATGAAAAAGAATGTGATAATCAGTTTCTCCTAATATTGCGATTAGTCATGCTGCAATCAGAATTTAAAAATTTTTCCACGGATGTAAATATGTCAATTTTTTCCAAAATTGATTTTGGACGAAAAAAACCAAGTTTTTTCAAATTAGGTATTTATTCAATTTGAGTGCTACCAATAGATCCCTATCATCATGTAGATGATGAATCAGGTGTCTGTTCATTCCAAAAGCAAACATATGTGGCTACAAATGCACTTTTAGGGGCAATCTTAATTGAATGCCCTCTCAAAATTGAATGCATGAACGTGGAGCCTTAATGACAAAACAAAGGTACATTCACTAGGCGATAACAGTAAAATGGGATGAAAATAGGATAAATAGCATCCCTATATAGTGCCTAACAATATTTATACGGGCCAAAAAAAATTTGGCTAGAGATTTGGCGAGTTATAAAACTTAGAAAATTGAGAGGGATTTTTATTTTTGAATTTTTTTTGGAAAGTTAAAATTGCGATTAAAAATCGATTTCCAGGAGAACTAAGCATCTCATCATATATTTAAATCGATAAAAATATTAAATAATAGTTGAATAGTATAACAACGTGAAATTATGGCTGAATCTACAGAAAAAATGAACATATTTGACATTTTTGAAAATTCATACGTTAGATGGTGACAGACTCATAAACTATACTTTAGCTAAGATTGATATATGGTTTCAACAACACATGGTTAAAATCGTAAAAATATTTTAGATTTCAAAAAGATATATATGGTAATATAATGGAACAAAGTCAACAAATAGCATGTTAAATATGTTATAATTAACTTTTTATTAGATCCAATAGTAGATATCGAATGGTTTCCAGCTTTATGGTTAAATATTTTCTTTTCGAGCTTCTCTTTAACTGTGGTATTAAGGTTGTAAATTTTTGATGCTAGAAACTATGGAATCTTCTTCGCTGCTGCATTTTTCTTGAGAGTTCTTGCAATTTCGAATAGATCTGCGCATTGTATGAAATGGAGGCTTTAAAATATCTTGAAAACAGAATAGGACTGCTTTTCCAAAGGAATGCTTACTTGTAAATCAGAGAGTTTC